GGACAGCGTGTGTACGTTGCCGACTTCGATTCTAGCGCAGTATTTGAAGCAGGCAAACGGCCAACTATCTTGCTTAAAGGTGAGTGTAAGATGAATCGATTAGCTCCGAAAGGTGAACCCCAGTATCTATCATTAATCATTGGTATTGAATTTTCTAAATGTCGGACGCGAAAGATTTATATATATATATATATATACATCCTAGATTAATTATTAATTAAGGTAACTGTATCTAATATGATCTAGTATGAAGTAGGCCACAGTCTACTTGCTGTTTGTAGATAGTTACATGGCTAATTCAATGTTCAATCTTCAAACTCATGTAAATATTGAAAATATCTCATCTTTTCAGTTAATATTCAGAAATGTTTCCTGTTTTGAATCTGACCATCAATGTTGGACTCAGCAAAAATCGTAACGCTTAGGTAGGCCGTATTGGATAAAGTTACTTTATATTCCAAAAATGATAGAAATAGAAACGCGTTTACGGTGGCCGCGATGTTTCTCTCGAAACTTGCTCACTGACTGAAACTTGACACCATGACAACTCGCGCTCGCGATTTTTTCGCAGCAATTGTACCTGGCCACGGGCAATTCCAGCAACTACGACGAGAGCGATGCGATGTCGTCGGCTGGTCTGGGCTCGCCAGCCCTGGCTCTCGCCGAGCCGTGCAATAACAACGTCAGCGCCGGCGCCGGTGGTCGCGGTGCCTTGGTGGCATCCGGCCAAAGTGGCGATCAGGAGGGTGGCTCGCTTTGGAACACCGCGGGCGAACAGCTCTGCGTCGTCTGTCAGTACTTCCCGCTATCACGTGCCCTGCTACCATGCCGACACACTTGTATTTGCGCCTCGTGCTTCGGCAAGCTGGACCGGTGCCCGATGTGCCGCAGCCCGATCAAGAGCTACTTCTGCATACGCAGCGAGGAGTACATGCCACCAGAGAAAGAGATCAACCCGTGCAAGCAACGTCAGCCCAGCCACGGACCTACCCATTGGCTCCACGATTGGAATGACCGGCTCACCGATTTCCTCGGCTTCGCCCGATAGGAGTATCACTCTATCACTAAGGTCGCACGTTCTATATAAGCAAACGTCAGGATGGTCGGCAGACTTTTTGTTTAATACAGATAATTTCTGCAGGTTTATTCCTATGTAAATCCTAGTGACAGCTGTTGATCCGGCAAAATATTAAATATCTCAAAATGATTGCGTTTCTATAAAACGGATGTTACATTTTTTTCTTTATTACTCAAATTGGTTTTATATGAAATGTTATATATATATATATATTACATATTTTATATATATATATATAAAATTATATGTATATGATATCCTCATATATGCACAAAAAATAAGTAAAAAGATTAACTTTGAGAATACAAAACTTAGAAATTGACTTTCTTATGTCATAACTTCAAAGACAGTAATTGACAAATTGTGTTTCAATATTATATAAGAAACAGGTTTTCATTTTTTTACTTATTCTTATTTTAATTTTTACAGTCATTGTAAATGATAATGATTTTACTCCGCCCAAATTTTTCCTATGTGACTGAAAAAACTACAAGTTTATAATTCAACAGATAGTTTATTAACTATTACTACTATCTTTGATTTATGTTGAAATAAATTTGTAGGACTTAATTACAAAACAAAAAGTATCAACCGTACTGACACTGACATATCTTGATTTATCGTTTAATTATAAAAAAGGTGCGGAAGTTCGTAAGAATTCACAAGGAAAACGCTGTGCAGCCAATAAACATAAAAGCTCCATTTTTGTTCCCGGCCAAAACGAAAGTAGTTAAACAAATCATTGTTTGACACTTTAATTTTTCATATCATGTATTTTTGAGAGAAAAAAAATCTTTAAATTATGATTTTATTCAGATATCCTTCTATGTAATTAATCGAGAATTATATTTTTATCACAGACTTTTTCTTCTGAAAAATCCAGCTACTTTCTACCATTTATTCTTGATCATCGATTATGCAACAATTTTTTACATACATATATATATATATATATACACACACGCAACACGCATTATTTGGGAATTATGAATATTTTGATAGATTCTCTAATTTTTTATATAATAACGTTTCTTTAATTTTTATATTCTCTACATATACATACAATGCTTTTTAAATATGGATTGAAGAGACGTTCTAGAAAGCTGTTCATTTAAAAAAAAAAAAGCAATTTCAAATTTATAACTGAGAGACACTATATATAAACAAACAAGAAATTAAAAAGATTTTTGGACTCTCAATATTTTAAATAAAAAATTAATAATTTTGAAATGGACTAATGAGAGCTAATACGCGGTTTTTTAAGCGTATAATCTTTAATTTATCTTCTCTGCTTTTACATATCACTTAGCACCTAGAATTTTTTTTCAGCCTTATTTTTTTCTGAATTAGGGAGACCATGTTGTGTTGATTTCCGCTATAAATTTTAAAAAAATTCTCAATTGATTTTCAGAATCTATTTTGGCGGATCTCTCCTTATTTTTCGAATGAGTACTTTTAATAGAAAATAGCCGGTAGCTGTTGTGTATTGTTATAGAATATCAGCAAACATTTTGTATAATCTTCAGTATAAGTGCCTTTAAATATTTAAAGGCAACAATAATATTAGAAAACAAAATACAAAGATTATAAAGGGCAAGATTTAATGTCATACCAATGTTCAGTTTTATTTGCTACATTTTGATATGCTTTGTCGGTCACGTGAATCTTAATATTTTGCGGCGTCAAATAATATTTCATTATTTAACAAACGAGATAAATCTTTTACGAGGGAAATGTTTTTCCTAAATCAGTGGATATATGTTTAATGCCATACCAACGTTCAGTTTTGTTTGCTATGTTTTGATATGCTTTTGCGGTCAGATAAATCTTAAGGGGATCCTAAAGCCGCCTGTATTATCGACTAAATTATTTAATTTTTGTATATCAAATACTTTTTTTCTTTCACAGATTCGGCGTCATTATTTAATTAAATTTAATTGCCAAATATATTTCCTGTTTGGAAATTTATGTCTAAAATTTGGTTCACGGAAGCTGCCCGCAAGTTAAAAAAAAATCAGGTATAGCTTCGAATCAACTATTTAGTTGTTGCCACCCTATTGCGTGCAACTAGTCTGATATCATTCGCAATTATCACAACAGATTATAATTTCGTTTTTTTTATGCTTCTTCATATGGTTCTTCATATTTGATACATTAGGTAACATATTGATCACATTTCGTGCATAATATTTCTAGGCATACTCTGTTTACTTTTTTTCGGTGATTTGTTAAATCATCCGAACTGTAAAATTTTCGTTTACATTCATTGACAATGTAGTTTTCCGGAAAATGTTTCTTCTTCATGTGTCTCGATAGGTGTGATTTCGTAATATATTCCCCACAAATACGGCACAATAAAATTTCTTAGTTTTTATTTATTTATTTTTATTATGTTTTTTTAATGATCTGTTAACTCATCCGATCTGTAAAATCTGTGTTCACACTCGTAACATTTGAAAGTGTAGTTTTCCGGAAAATGTTTTTTCGCATGTCTCGGTAGGTGTGATTTCGTAATATACGAGGACAAATCAATAAATACCCGTGTTTGAAGACAGGTGACGTTGCTGATGCAAGTTGGCATTACCATCGTGTACTACCATCTTTCAAATGACGCCATACAAAATTTCAGAGTGATTCATGCAATAGTCTTAATTTGACAGCAATTCGTAGTGTTTTCCGATACAATGGAAAAAGAACAATATCGATCCGTGATTCGCTTTTTATTTTTGGATGGAAAAACGTGCGAAGAAATAAAAACGAAGTTGGATGCTGTCTATGGAAACCCTTCACCATCTATTACAACCGTCAGATATTGGTTCAACGAATTTAAGTGGTCGTTCATCTGTTTTTGATGAGGAGCGCCCAGGCCGCCCAGCAGACGTGATTACTGAGGAAATCGTTGAAAAAGTCCACGACATGATTCTCGCTGATCGCCGAACGAAAGTGCGTGAAGTAGCAGAGGCCATAGGTGTGTCGTATGGAACGACATTCAATATTTTGCATGATAATTTAGGAATGAAAAAATTGTCGGCCCGATGGGTGCCGCGATTGTTCACGGTGGACGACAAGCGAATGCGGCTATCAATTTCAAAGCAATGTTTGGAGCTGTTCAAGCGCAATCCGAAGGAGTTTTTTGCGTCGAGTAGTAACCGTTGATGAAACATGGATTCATTACTACGCACCGGAGACCAAAGTACAGTCAAAACAGTGGATTTCACCCGGTGAACGTGCTCCGAAGAAGGCCAAGACGGTCCCATCGGCCGGAAAAATGATGGCCACTGTTTTTTGGAATACGCAAGACGTAATCTTCATCGACTACATGGGGAAAAGCAAAACTATCACGAGGCAGTACTATGCTGACTTATTGGGCTGATTTGATGTTGAATTGAAGAAAAAACGCTCCCATTTGACGAAAAAAAAAGTGTTGTTCCATTAGGACAATTCACCGGCTCACTCCTCCGCAGTCGCCACAGCCAAATTGGTCGAATTGCGGTACGAATTGCTGCCGCATCCACCGTACTCTCCGGATTTGGCTTCCTGCGATTTCTTCTTTTTTCCAAACTTGAAAAATGGCTCGGTGGAAAAAGATTCACGTCGAATGAGGAGGTCATTGCCGAAACAGAGGCCTATTTTGCAGAGTTCGACAAATCGTATTTTTCGGAGGGGTTAAAAAAATGGCAGAAACGTTGGGAAAAGTGTATCCTCCTAAAAGAGGATTACGTTGAAAAATAAAAAAAAGTTTTGTGAAAATCTTGCGTCTTCATTACTAACACGGGTATTTATTGATTTGCCCACATATGGCACAATAAAATTTATTAGCTTTTATTTATTTATTTTTATTATATTTTTTTTTATGATCTGTTAACTCATCCGATCTGTAAAATCTCCGTTCACACCCGTAGCATTTAATGGTTTGATTGACAAACATGCGCTTCGATCGTTATAGGCTTTAAACTTCTTTATTATTCACCAAAAGATGTGTGAATGCCAATTTGAGCCGAGCACCAGTTATACATGTGCAAATTTCTTTTATTGTAGGGTTAGTTGAACTGTAAATACTATTTTTAACCGAAATATTACATATGTTTGGTCTAATCTTTCTTAAACAACAACAACAACAACAACAAAATAATCAACTACATAAAAAATTCGTGAGTTAAAAATTTTTTTAATCAGACTCCTTTTATTAAAATAAATAAGAAATTAAAAACAGGCTATAGAAGTCAACACGCAAGTTATTAGTAATGCGGAGTTATTCAAAGATGGTTTAACCCGTGTTCACTGACGACAGTACTGCGTTTTTTATGTTCTTATATTCTGGTTTTTAGTTTTCGATACGTTTGGCCAACGTAAGAAGCATCACAGTCATTACATTTTATCTTGTAAACCACATTCCTTCTGGAATCCCTAGGAAGAGGATCCTTATGAACCTTTATGAACCGATTCAATTTGTTAAGACTAAAAAAACAAACTCTTTGGCAAAGACCATTAAAAACTTCTTTAAATTTATTAGAAATGTCAGCCACATAAGGAAAGGGCAACCATTTCAATTTTGCTTTAGCGGTCACAGATGACCTATTATGGTAAAAAATAGTCCTATTAATCAAGAAATTGATCCTCTTCCTAACGGTGTCAAAAATAAATTTCAATGGGTAATCATTTTCCAATAAAATGTTAATAATAAAATCTAAATTCTTTTTATGGAATGTTGAATGCGAAAGATAAAACAACTTATCAACTAGACTAATAATAATGCCCTCCTTCTGAGATATAGAGTGCTGAGACAAGAAATTCAAAAACCTGCCTGAAAATGTGGGTTTCTGGAACCAGTCAAAAATTAAGTGATTGTCTTTCATTATAATTCTTGTATCTAAGAAGTTTATGGAACTCCCTCCAACTTCTATGGTGAATTGTAATCTGTCGTGATAAGAATTAAACTTTGAAATACCATCAACTTCGTTATTAGGTAAACATAAAACAATATCGTCCACATATCTATAAAAAAATGTTATGGGAAATTGAATCTCGCTCAGCAACCTACTCTCGAGGCCCCGCATCACAAGCAGGGTTGGTGAAAAACATGTTTTAAACGTGTTTTAAACAGTTTAAAGCATGCTAAATTAATGTTTTTAATATGTTTTAAATATGTTTTTTTATAGTACTGTTTAAAGCATAAATTTGAAGTATTAAAAACGTATTTAAGGAGAAACACAGTATATTTTATTCTTAAAAAAAACATTAGTCTTTACCAACCCTATCACAAGGTCAACAATGATTGGAGATAACGGGGAACCCATCGGCGTTCCAAACGTCTGTTTGTAAAATTGATTGTCAAACGTAAAATATGTTGAATCGAGAACTAACCGGATAGCTTCCAAAAATTCTTGTAAGGTAAGGTCACAATTCATACTAATCAAATTCCTTATGTGACATTTCTAATAAATTTAAAGAAGTTTTTAATGGTCTTTGCCAAAGAGTTTGTTTTTTTAATCTTAACAAATTGAATCGGTTCATAAAGGTTCACAAGGATCCTCTTCCTAGGGATTCCAGAAGGAATGTGGTTTACAAGATAAAATGTAATGACTGTGATGCTTCTTACGTTGGCCAAACGTATCGAAAACTAAAAACCAGAATATCAGAACATAAAAAACGCAGTACTGTCGTCAGTGAACACGGGTTGCATCATGGTTATAATCTTGTTTGGAAAAACGTTGAAATCTTGGATGAAGAAAGGTATTATAACAAGCGTATAATTTCGGAAATGATTCATATCAAGAGACAGAGGCATGGTCTTAATTTACAAATCGACACGGAGGCTTTAAGTCTTACTTACAATGATGTACTCGATAAGCTATTGTAAATTGTATATATTTGACCATTCTGTTCTCTCTGGTGTTTACTTCAGTCATGATCAGTTGTAACGACTAGATGCCTACAAAAATGTGCAATTTTTATAAGCTTATGACTCGAATTTATGATATGTGTTAAAAGAATCGTGAACATGTTGGAGATATGAGGTGAGCATTATTGTCTCATGTTGCCCATTGCATATATGAATTGTCATGTATTTTTATTTAATTTCTAGCCGAAGAATTTTCTTAACTCAGAGTAAATTAATATTTTGAATCCTTTTCGATACAAATCGTCCAACGCAGTTACTATGTAACTGGTTCATACAAGTTATTAGTAATGTGTAGTTATTCAAAGACGGTTTAACGTTTCGACTCTCGGTTTGAGTTATCTTCAGCTAATATTCGGAGTTAAAAATTAGTTAAACAAAAACTTACTAATAACTTGCGTGTTGATTCCTATAGCCTGTTTTTAATTTCTTATTTATTCTAATTTCTTAATTTTACTTACATGTGATAACTGTAATGCAACGAACTATAATCATTGAGTTAATAGGCTATCATTAGACTTGCAGTAGACTTAAAATTATTTTAGTCAGGTGTAAGCATAATTTTAAGAACTTTTTGTACCGAAGAGGATTCAAAATTTAGGATCGAAACGTTTACTTTCATTGCATTTATGTTAAACCTTACAATAAAAGAAATTTGCACATGTATAACTAATCGGCTTAAATTGGCATTCATACATCTTTTGATTTATTCTTGAGAGCCTAAATCTAATTTTTAATTTATTATTCACATTGATATTTTTTTATGTTCTATTAATTCATCTGATCGGTAATATGTTTTACCACATTTGTCGCATATAAAAATATAACTTTCAATTGAATGTTTTTTTATATGCCTTGCCATATGGGATTTTTGACGTATGTGACGTCGTTCACATAGAGATGTAAACGACGGAAAAATTCTAAAATTTTAGAGTAAAAAAACTCAGGAAATAATGAAATTTTTCCTTTGGCTTCGACAGTTTTTTTACTCGGATATTTTTTTTTTAACATTTCACGATTCCGACGCTGTACTATTATTCCAGAATTTAGTTTTTGCACTTATGAGTAAGATTTCTGTGTGAAAATAGTTACAAAGTTAAAATATAGTATAATGATTAACCCTTTCAAGCACGGTGGGAATCCAGATTCCCACATCTTTATTCATTTTTTGATACTGTTTGTCGTATAATTTGATTGTAATTATACATATTCTAAATTTAAATTATAGTGAGACAACGTTCATTGAATCTCTATTGATTACGCTTGAATCAATATTATATTGGGATGTTGTCTTAAAATAATTAAAATATAGGGTACAATCAATATGCAACAAAACAGTATTTATTATGCTTATAAAGTATTATCTGTATTAATAACTCTTCACTTATTTAAAATTAATACAAAAATGTTAATTTTAAATTAATTCTTGCATGTCTCAGAAAGTCTACTAAACGTCTATAAGTTAAAATTATCACTTTATTTTTTACAATGTATTCGTTACATATTTCCGTTATATATTTCCGTACATAGCACTTTTAAATCTTCTCTTCTTTTTATGCTTTACATTAATATATGTTTAGGTTGCTTTAAGCCCAGTTTCACAACTCAGGGTTAACTCTTAACCGAGAGTTGTGGAACTGGGCCTAAAGCAACCTAAACATATATTAATGCAAATTAACCGAGGTTCAACTTATTTATTATCTCTTTCCAATTCTAGAATTGGAAAGTTGTGGAACTAGGCCTTAGTCGGATATGATGGTTTACATAGCGGGTCGTGTATTCGCAATCATCACAACAGATTATAAATTTGTTTTTCTTATGCTTCTTTATATGGCTCTTCATATTTGATGCAGTAGGTAATATATTGGTCACATTTCGTGTAGAGAATTTCGTGCATAACACTTTTGGGTCTTCTCTGTTTCCTTTTTTTTATGCTTTATATTAATATTTTATTTGCTTTAGTCGGATATGATGATTTACATGGGTCATATATTCGCAATCATTATAACGGATTATATACTTTTTGTCCATATAAATTTTTTATGTGCTGAACATTTATTATATTCCTCGTTCGAACCACAATCTACTTTCCAATGAATTTTGATATCTCGTTTCATATGCTGGATGTCTATATTTTTTATAGATTCCTTATTGTGAGAATTGTCGGCATTAACGCCAAAAGAAAGCAATGCAATAAGAAAAAATATTGAATATGAATAATTTTCGTCATAGTTTTAGCTCAAATTAAACTATTATGGAGGTCTTAACTTTCCGACTGTTTCCGACAAAACGTTATCGAATCCACCGCGCCGTGAATGATCTCATTGCCCGCTTATTAATATTTTATTATTGTTTTCCGACAGCCCTGTTAAATATTAAATGTCAATACGTTAAATATTAAATGTCAATCAAAATTAAAAAAAACAAGAGAAAAATAAAAGGCATATATCACGAGCGCTTGATATCGTACAGCGAAACTTCTTTCAAAGTCAATACATAAAATTACATTAAATTAATAAATAGAATAGACGTTTCGGCCTTCTATTGAGCCACCATCAGTATATAAATATAAATTACGCAGAAATGTATAGTATACAAATAAAAATTGAGTTCTTTCTTCGTTACATGTCTATGTCAATAAGCTCGTTAGATTTCTTATTTTACTTTCTTTCGATGTGTATTTTCAATGTATCTATAATTTCATGTTTCCACAACGTTACCGATATGATGTACTCGACCACATAATTTCCAGATTCTAATGATAATAATAATTCATGATAGTCGTTACATATTCTCAATTATTTTTTATAAATTCAATACCTGTGTTCCAGTAGATTTGTGAAGATTGGTACGTCTATTCTATTTATTAATTTAATGTAATTTTATGTATTGACTTTGAAAGAAGTTTTGCTGTACGACATCAAGCGCTCGTGGTATATACCTTTTATTTTTCTCCTGTTAAATATATTTTGTTTCTTAGAAATTGATTTTCTCATGTTATAACTTCAAAGACAGTAATTAACAAATTGTTTCAATATTATGTAAGAAACAGGTTTTCATTTTTTTTTACTTATTCTTATTTTAATTTTTACAGCCATTGCAAATGATAATGATTTTACTCCGTCCAAATTTTTCCTATGTGACTGAAAAAACTATTATTTCTAAAATTTATTTCTTTTTTTAACTAAAATTTCGTGCATAATATTTTTGGGTCTCTCTGTTTCTTTTTTTTGCTTTATATTAATATTTTATTTAGGTTGCTTTAATCTCATATGATCTTAGAACATACATACTGGAAGGATCATAGGTGACTGTTGATTGCGCGTGATTTATATGTGAGCTCTGAACGTATATATGTATGTTTTAAGGCGAGAGCGGGGATACAACACTCTTAAACATAATAATAATCGCATGCACATTACGGTGAAGCATTCAGACAAGGACAGACAGATGTTGGAGATACTTTTATTACATTGGTCAAATACGGTATGGCCCTTCCAGTATGTATGTTCTAAGGATACGATGGCTTGCAAAGTGGGTCGTGTATCGCAATCATCAAAATCATTGAATTTATTATATAATCACAACAGATTATAAATTCATCTGTCTTGTGCTTCTTCATATTTGTTGCATTAACATATTCATTACATTCCGTGCGTAGCACTTTTGGATTTTCTCTGTTTCCTTTTTTTCTTATGCTTTACATTAATACACATTTATTAATGTAAGAAAAGGAACTATCAAAAAAGATTTTTGGCTATTTTACCAGGATGTGTGACCATTAGAGGCAAGAACTGAATTAAATTATTTTAAGGTTTAAACCTTTACCTTTATTTTACAGAGTTTTTGGTAGGACTACTCGATAAAATTAGTTAAATTAGGAACTCGCGTGATGACCATAGTCGATCGCTGTACGTGGGAGTCTTTCGATTATCGGGTACAGAAAAATGAATAATTTCTCGGAGCGCATCTTATAAGGACCGTGTTTTAAAATCGATTCTCCGATTTCGCACTCTTCAGACCGGTCGCTCGTGATTTTTCTGAATCTATTGTACTTCTCTCGCGAAGTATTTATTACTTTTGTCATTATTTGTCACTGTTACCTTTGTTATGATTCTAACGCCACGAGGCGGTCCAAGTAGGCGACGAACCCCTCCAGTCTTTGAACCATCCCGCTCGTCACCATGTTGCGGGCGTCCAGTCGGGTGAGCGTCACTTCAAGTTGATCGGCGCGTTGTCGGACCAGGTTCAGTTTCGCTCGCGCCTTTACGATGGACTCCTCCATTTGGTCCGTGGAATAACGGAGCCCATTCATAATGTTCCGCAATTCGCGCGCCAGGTTCGCTACGCTTCTTTCCATTGGCTGCTGGTGATCCTCCATCTGAAAGGAGAAGAAACCCGCCATTAGCACTCGTTCTACGCGAACGACTTCGGCTCGTGTGCCAAGACGACCGAAGAGTCGGGCTCGTGTCTCGCTACGAGCTTAGGAGGATATAATCGGAGTCCTTATGTATACAAAATTCGGTTCTCTCAGGTGCTCTCGAGAAACTCTTCAAGTTGCTCGCTCTCTAGCGGCGAGTCGCTACACTACGTTATGATTCTAACAATTAAAAATTTGTTAGTTTAGTGATCGTTTAAATACATTTACGAATTTTAAAGTAATTACATTTTAGTGCCATCGTTCAACTATAATTTAATACATAATTATGAATGCGTTATACGTTTGTCTTATTTCTCTTTACGTGCGTGAGCGATATAAAGAAACGGTAAAAGAAACTCTCTCTCTCGCTCTGCCGAATTTAAAGATCCTATTATTGGTCTCGTGACGAAAGTATATACGTGTATTGAGAATCCGTGTGTACATTTCCGAGGACTTGTCGTGCGTTTGGCAGACAAAGTCGTGGCAATATAATCGCCACAGATTAATGTCAGAAATGGTACACATTAAATGGCAGAAAAATGCCATTTTACAAACTGAACAGAATTTCTGATAACTGACACAGAATTTTTCGACCAAGCGTATGTCCCCCCTGTATCAAAATTTTTAAATCATTTCTAACAATATTTTAATACACTAGAACATAACAAGTGCGCGCTACTGAACTTTTCATATTATAGTATACTTTTTCGTAAAAAATAAGTATATAATTTTTACCAATATATACGAATTTATATGTTTAAAAATATTCCCATAAATTCCCTTAAATTGTGTTATCTAAATAAAATTTATGCATTTGCTTTTATTTCTTTCTTAACATTATATTTTTTATTGATATACACATATATGTGTGATCATTCTTCCTTTTAGAAAAAGAATTAAATCAGTACTGGAATCTATTGAAGTTTTTTTGAAAATTTCGAAGTTCATTGTTGGTTCTTTTCTGTTACATTAATTGGTTCTCTTCCATATATATTAGGTTAGTAATTTAATTTTAACAGTATAATATGAACTGTATATATTTAAATATTAAAAAGTATTTAAGCAAACAAAAAGTGAAAAGGTCGAACAATAGCAAAATGAACGTCTGTGATGTCCTAGTGTATTAAAGCATATAAAAAATATTATTTAAAAATTTATATCCTTTTATATTATTAAATACCATTATATTCTTATATAAAAAGGAAGAGGAATTATGTATATTTCTTTATATACATAATTTTTAATTTGTTTATTTTCGCGTTGACTACCAAGATAAATTTTTAATGCTTGCCAAGATTGTACTCGTGAAAAGGCAACATAAAGTTGTCCATGATTAAAAATATCTTTGCGAAGATCTATTCCTATTTTGTCAAACGTCTGACCTTGTAATTTATTAATAACCATAGCAAAAGTTAATTTTATTGAAAATTGTCTTCTTTTAAAAGTGAAAGGATATACATTTTCGCAATACAATGTTATCGGTTCAAAAATATCTCTTATTTTGTCACCTGTTCAAATTTTGCATTTTAGTAAATGATCAGCTAGTTCAATAATTTTTAATCTGATGCCATTGCAAGGAACTTCATTAATACTTAGATTTCTTATCAACATAATGATATAATTTAGTTTTAACCGTAATTCATAAGGAGGAAGAAATGATGGAGATAAACTATTTAAATATTCTGGAAATATAACTTCATTAATCTCGTTATTATTATTATTGCAATTTTCAGTACTATCTATATTTGTATAAATTCATTCTTCTAATATATCTAATAATTCGACAACTTGTTTATTAAATTCATCTACATCTTTATTTCTTGCAAAAAGTATTGCACACACTTCATCAGTTTATTAAATTCTTTATTTTATATTAGACCACCATATATCTCTTCTGCAATATTGTTATTTATGGGTGCAATACAATTATCTGGAAACTGTATATTATCGTTAGAGTCATTTAATACGCCATCTCCTATGTTTTCCGTTAAAGAGAAACTTACAAAGTATTTCCAAGCACAACTAAACTTGATGGAAAGAATCACGATTTCACTTCGAGTATCATGTATTTTAATAGGAAGAAGTTGTCTAAAATCATTACCTAATATGATAATTTTTCCACCGAAAGATAAATTATTATTCATGATATCACGCAACGTTCGATCCATAATTTCTAGAGCATATCGTGGTGCCATTGACGCTTCATCCTAAATAAAAATATCTGTTTTTCTTAAATATTGAACTTCTTTTGATTGGATTTTAATGCTAGATGATGAATCAGCAAATAATGGAACTGGTAAGCCAAAAGTCTTATGAACCGTTTTTCCTGTATGAAAGTATGTCAATAGGCTTTAATAATCAGTATATAACATTTGGTCGGATGCAAAGAACACAATTTTTTATCGCATTAAAAATCGGGTTTCGTACCAAAAAAAGTACATTTGCGGGAAGCATTATTTTTCTGTTTTAATCTCAAGAAATCTGCTGCTGAAAGTCATCGTTTGCTAATGGAGGCTTATGGGGAGTATGCTCTATCTGAAACAACTTGCAGAGATTAGTTTAGAAGATTCAAAAACAACGATTTTGACGTGAATGACAAAGAGCGCCCTGGTCAGTCGAAAAAGTTGAACATGGCGAATTGGAGGCATTACTTCAAGAAGATTCATATCAGACGTTGACAAAGAGTTGTCGAAAACATTAAATGTTGATGAGTCAACCATTAGCAAACGTTTAAAAGTAACGGGAATGATCCAGAAGCTAGGAAACTGGGTCCCACATGACTTGAGAGAAAGAGACATTGCGAAACGTTTAGCTATTTGTGAATTGCTGCTTCAAAAACAAAAACGGAAGTCGTTTTTACATCGAATTGTGATTGGCGATGAAAAGTGGATTCGTTACGACAATCCTAAGCGCAAGAAATCATGGATTTCCATCGCCGCGTCCCGGCGAACCATCAACATCAACGCTAAAACAGGATATTCATGGAAAGAAGGTCATGCTGTGCATTTGGTGGAATCAAGTCGGTGTAGTAGTCCTATGAGCTGCTGCAACCGAGTCGAACCATCAATGCTGAACGCTACTGACGTCAATTACTCAATTTGAATCGAGCACTCAAAGAAAAACACCCGCAATATGTCAAAAGACATGACAAAGTTATTCTTCTTCGTGACAACGCTAGACCACATGTTGCACAACCAGTGAAGGAAATCTTGGAGGCACTTGGATGGGATATCTTACTCCACCCGCTCTATTCATCAGACGTTGCTCCTTCAGATTACCATTTGTTTCGGTCGATGCAGCATGGTCTTTCTGAGTAGCACTTCAGTTATTTCGAAGATATAAAAAAATGGCTCGATGACTGGATCGAAAGAACCTAAATTTTTCTACCGCGGAATCCATTTGTTACCCGAAAAGTGGGAAAAGGTTATAGCTTTCGATGGGCAATATTGTGAATAAAATATCGGGTACCTTTTTGATGAAATAAACATGAGTTTTTGTAGCAAAAAACAGCAAGAATTAATTCAAGCATCAATAATATATTAGGAAAAAAAATTTAATGCCTCCAACAAAACTGTTTAGTTGAAGCATTTTTTAATAGCAACCAAATATTTTGTTTATGTAACAAAAAATTTAGTTATTTTTGCAAAATAATTTCTATAACAAAAATATTTATTTATATCAACTAAATAATTTAGTTCACATAAAATTACAGTTTTACTCGGTATATTTTAACCAAAACGATTTTGTTCGATATATTTCAACCAAATTTTGTTACATTTTAGTTCATAGAACAAAACATTTTTCCTAGTGTACGTACAAATAATCTACGAAGTTGTCTAAGCAATAAATTCAATATTTATTTAACCCAAGGAAGATATTAAAGGAATGTTAAAATATTTCTTGACGCAACCCGACAGTTAGTTCGCCATATTTAATTCAATCGATTGAGTTGGTTTACCTCAATTCGAGTTGAATTTCGTGATCTTTTTTTATAGTGTATTGACAGTAATCATTCGAAAGGTAAGAGATCCACCAAAATGAATTCTGAATCGATCGAGTTGATTTAAAAAAAAATTTAACAGCGGAAACCAAC